CACCTTCAGCATCTCCTCAGCAAACAGGTCGAAGGTTGCACATGCGGGGGTTTGACGTTCGAACTCTGCTGTTCCCCAGAGTCGAGCTCGGCCCGTCAGGTGAGTGATGGCATACCCAACTTTAGCCCCCTCCGTGGCGAAGGTCCTTGGCTGCAAGGAGAACTGAAGTCGGCAGCTAGTCAGGAATGGCCGGACCTGGGTTGAATCGCCGTTGAACCGCTCGGGGTTTCCAATCTTGGGTTCCGGAGCAGCGGCTGCAATGACCGGGGCAGGTAACTCGGGGGCTGGGCTGGTGGGCAGACTGGCTGGGGTAAGGTTGGTGAGGAGTTGAATGATCATGGCGAGTTGTTGTTGCTGCTGCTGGAACTGCTGCTCATGCTCATCGGTTTCCATGTCGGGGAAAGTGTGCGCTGAGTCCATAATGGTCAGATCGTACTGTCACGATTCAGACAGACGACCAGAGGACCACAATTGCGTCACACCAGAAAGTTTATTAAACTTAAGGGAAAAGGGAAGTAGGGAGTGAATGAAGGCTCCAGGGGTAACAGGGATCCCGTCCAATGCGCTGGGTCTGTGCCCCCCCCAGTGGCAGCGATGCGTCCTATGAAGCCGGTGGTGGGTGGTCCAGAAGTCCTGGGGGGGGGAGACACAGACACAACAGGGCGGAATGAAACCAGGCAGCAGTACAGTTCAAGGGAAATCCAAAATACGTAGTAGCAAGGCAGAAGGCTGGTCAGAGTTACCGGGATTGAAGAGTAGTCAGGAGTCGTAATGGCAGAAGCAGGTCTGGATCTCCTGAGGCAGAAGAGTATCCAAAAAACAGGCAGGTCCGGGGTCACAAAACCAGGGTGAGCCAGAAGCGCGAGCAAACAGGTTCCGGGTGTGAGCTTTGCAGACGATCTGACACCGGAGAGCTGAAAGACAGGGCCTTAAATACTGGGAGAGGTAGTGGGTAATGCAGCGCAGCTGGCAGAGTAATTAGAGCAGAGCAGAGCAGGGACAGGTGGAGCTAGTTAGGCTGAGTAGAGAGAGTGGTGAGCAGAGTGGAAGAAAATAAAGGTGGTAACCCGGTGGAGTGAGAGGCCCATGACATCCAATGTGCTTTACCTCAATCATTTCTGGTCTCCTAGGATTATCTGGTGTCTTTCCACATGCTGGGGACTTGTCAGATGAAACAGGAACATTAGCTAGAGTGACCTCTTGAAGGTTAAAGCAGGGGCAGTCCAAAACACCTTCCTCCCTTTTACACAGACATGAAATGTCTCTGTATTTCATTTGGCCGGGTGTCAGACTGATAGCTTGGTGGATTCTCATAGTGCCTTTTATGGCAGCTATTGCAGGTACCTCAGGCTTTGATTCAATATCCCTCTCTGGGATGAAGAACAGCTCGACAGATGTGTCCAGGCTTTTCAGCTTGTTATACAAGCTCTGGGCATCAGGAATGTCTCCTCCATGGGCTACAATCCGGTCTGCTGACCTCTTGAGGGCCCCACCCACACCGTCTGGTGCCCCCTTCCCATGATTAGCCTCAAAGAAATTCCACGTTATTTCTTTGAAGCCATACTTGTAGGGTTATATTAGTTATCAATATGTCATTTTATGGGGACATAAACAGTTGATAATTGTCCTTCAAATAAATCTAAACTTTCTAATAAGTCTCATCAGCTAAACTTCCAATGATCTAACCTGGAGGGCCCTGGCTCATGCTGATTTTCAGTTCTTCTTTCACTGGAATACCATAATATGAGGGTTTCACACAATCTTTGACAGCCATGAGTTTGCATGTATTAATGTTAAGACATAGAATCCTTTTGCAAAGCATCTTGTCTATCACATTGGGAATCTGACTAGCATTTTACAGAAAAAGTGTAGTATTGTCAGCCAGCTGGCCTATAATAATTTATTTACCAACTATGGAAATACCTTGTACAGGACTATTATTAATATAATTTGTAAGAAGTTAGGTGACTAATAAAAACAGATACAGTGAGATAGGACAACCTTGCCTAATTCCTATTTTTAACTCAAATCTAGGTGAGGTGTCATGTTTCAGTTTGATATAGCTGTTACCATTCATATAGACTCTTAATAGCCCTACAGAAAAAGTTCCCAAACTTCTTAATAAGGGAGTGGAAGAGGAACTGATGCTCTACTGTGTCAAATGCTTTATAAATATCTAAAAAATAATATAACATATGTCTAGTACTAGTCTGATATTGTTAGAGATATGTCTGTTTCTTATAAAGCCAGACAGTATTTCATCAATGATTGCGTCCAGGACTTATTTAATTGAGTTGACATCTGTTTTTCACTGTTTCGTAATGGCTTTGGTTATCAATCTAGCAAGAGGGCAATATTTTATTGATGTAGTAGTGTTCCGAGGGATCGAGTTTGTCATTCTGAGCATATACAATGTGTCTGCCTTTGTTCTGAGCATATGCAATGCCTCCGACTTAAAACAAATGTAAAACAAACAAAATTACTTCTTTACTTATTTTAGGTTTAAGGAAGTGTGTAGGTCGCATTCTTTATCGTAGTTATGTATATAAAGTTATGTATTTAGATCCGCCTGCTTGAGACAAATTCAGCGATTGCTTTGCCATGTCTGTGCTGTGAAGCAGTTGAGCTGAATAAATATTTTCCTAAAGGACCCGCCCATTGACGGAACGTTGCAGGGAAGTGATACATGGATGTAATGATGCAGCCGACCACCAGAGGGAGGCAAATACAAGTTTATTCGACATAGGACGTTTACATGGTCCTTGGAAGGTCTGATGGATGGCTGTCTTCGGACTTATAAAACGGTAGGAAATCAATAAAAGAAGTCATTTAAAAATATACATATACTGTACATACGTAATTATAGTGCCTGATTTCGCGGACTGTCAGCTTAAGTGAATTCTCTTTGCAAGTAGTAAAGCTAATATCTTATAGTCATTATTAAGAAGATTATTGTACGCCAGTTATCAATGAGAAGCACGTATTTTTTAGGCTTAGGTATCAGAGTTATTCAACCCTTATTCATTGTAGGAGGGAGAACATTATTTTTAATACTCTCTAAAAAAGATCTCAAGTAGGAAGGGAGCTACTTGTTCAGAGAATACCATCAATACCTGGGGATTTATTTAAGCAATAAGGCCCGAGGGGGTGTGGTATATGGCTAATATACCCCGGCTAAGGGCTGTTCTTAAGCACGACGCGACGCGGAGTCCCCGAGGTGCCCTATTGCTATTATAAATATGCTACCAATGTAATTAGAACAGTAAACAAGTAGTGTTGCATCATACCCATGGTATATTGTCTCATATACCAAGGCTTTCAGCCAATGAGCATCCAGGGCTCGAACAACCCAGTTTATAATGTTCTTTAGATGTTTGATAGACTCGATAAGTTCATCACACTGTTCAGGTTCTGTATAACTCATAGAATTAACATGATTCAGTGAGACAAAAAACATATCTGTGGATTCCTGAGAGTACTTAGAGCTATACAATTTCCTGTAAAAATTGCTACAATAGTTAACGATTCATTTTTGGTCATCTGTAATAACACCTTCAATGTTTAGCTTATGGATAGTGTTATTTGTAGAGTGAAATTTCTCAAGTCTAAAGAAATAGAAATAATTCTCCCTCCTCAAGCCATTTTTTCCTAGATTTAATTAAGGCTACCTCTGTTTTTAATCTATATATATATATATATATTATCCAGTTTATTTTGTAACTCAATCAGTTCCCATCTTCTCCTCCCCTGAGAGGCTGTCTGGAGATTTTTGATAAAGGGAAGCTATCTTAATTACCACATTTTTCTCCTCAGCTCTTCTGGTCTTAGCAAGATTATTACCATATTTTCTAAGGTATTTGGCCACCACAAATTAAAAAAGCTCACAGTTCTTGCAATAAGATTTTTCTTCACAAGCCCTTTCCCAAAAGTGTGAGAGCAGACCTTTAACCTCAAACTTAACTATAAGGACCTATTTAGCTACCAGTAGGACGCTCTACCAAGGTTAGTATCAGGGGTAAATCATTTTACATCAATGTAAATTGCCCTACGGTCTGTGAGGGGAGTAGTAAAAGCATTTGTAGTAACACACTCACTATCAACACATTTCGATATAACCCAAAAATCTATTCTGGACTGTCTGGAACCTGTTTTATTACTCCAAGTGAATGATCTGTCAACCGGAAACTTCTCTCTCCATATATCAGTAAGATTTTCCATAAAGAGTATTAAACCCAAATTCTGATTCGTTGGCCTACCAGGTGGCCATCTATCAGTTAAATTATCTATAGTAATGTTAAAGTCCCCTCCTATCAATAATAATGAATTGGGAAATTGAGATAACCAATTAAATATACCTTTATCTACAGATTCAAGCAATTCATCATTCACATGTTTGATGAAGTGTTCTTCTACTCTTTGACACAACTCGAAATGGGAGCGGCAACGTGCGTTGCGCTTCCGGTCACCTCTTTGGGTAAATGGGAGTAGAATTTCACTTCCTGCATGTAACAGGTACCCGAAAGAGAGAGAGAGACACACCTGTGAATTGTAAAGAATTCGATCGTTTGTATAGAATCGACGACAGATACATAATTTACAGGTGATACATTTGTGTTAATTCCTAGTGCTGTTTTTGAACAAATATGAATCTATAAACTTACAGAAGAATTGGATCTTGATTATGTATTTGTATGTTTTGACGTAATTCTTACCTTTGAAACCAGAGGAACAGAGAGACACTGCGATAGACAAAAGTCCTGAACGTTTGTATACAATTGATTGGCGTGTGTGTATAGTATAAAGACAGGCTTCATGGTGTTTTGTATCTTATTTAGATCATGTTGCGAGTATTTTCATTTGAATGATAATTTATATTTAATCACAAGGCATTCCATGATATGTTATTTATTTGAAGTTGACTATATATCTCTCTGTTTTCAGATCATCTGTTGGATTATCCTATATTTGTGGGAAATAGTTTTCCTGGACTGTTTTGTAGAATGACTACTCTCCCAATTGGATTGTTATTGGGCGCTTCGGTGTGCTGTATTGTTTTCCTGGGTCGCGCGGAGGCCCAGCCATTCGAGGAACAGTGTTTGGACAATTTCGAAAAGGGCAGAGAAGATTTCGTTCTCGACACAGATGACTCGGTGAAAGACGGTGCGACTTTCATCTCTTCACGGAAGGATGAGAGCATCAAGGACTGTATACGCTCCTGCTGCAAAGATCCCAAGTGTAATGTCGCTTTCATGGAGAATGGGTCGGGTGACGGCATGGTCAAGTCATGCTTTCTCTTTGACTGTCTATACAAGCAGAAGTACGTCTGCCGATTTGTCAGGAAGAAGGGATTCCTGAACTACATCAGAGACTCGGTGTATGAAAGTGATCTGGCAACAAAAAATCTCCCAGGTAAAACAGGCAGACTGGTCCTCTGTAGCTCAGCTGGTAGAGCACGGCGCTTGTAACGCCAGAGTAGTGGGTTCGATCCCCGGGACCACCCATACGTATAAAATGTATGCACACATGACTGTAAGTCGCTTTGGATAAAAGCGTCTGCTAAATGGCTTATTATTATTATTATTATTATTATTATTATAGACTAGACTAAGACCAATATGTACCCTGAAAGGGCCTACCATTACGTTAAGGTCCAAGGACCTTAAATGTTATTTTCAGAGGCTCTGGCAACCAAAACAGCCAAATACTCCATCTAAACGTGAATCTATTATCGAATGTGATACAATTCAAGAAACATAAAGCCCTTTACTTTCATATCACATCATAATTTCACAAATGCAAATGCAGTAACATGGAAATATGGCGGTGTGGGAACATTAACCCTATAAAGGTGTGTAGGAATTTAACCTTTTTGAAAATGATTTATTGCTGGTATGAAAGATACTTTCCTTATGCTTCCAAAACCGTGCTGCAAGAGATATGTGTTAACATTTAGAGCAAGCATCAGGGCTCTTAACAAAACTCCCCCGGTCAGAAGATGCACTACATGGCCAAAAGTATGTGGTTATGGCTATTTAAGCCACACCTGTTGCTGACAGGTGTATGAAATTGATCACACAGCGACGCAATCTCCATAGACAAACATTGCCGGTAGAATGGCCAGTACTGAAGAGCTCAGTGACTTTCAACGTGGCACTGTCATAGGATGCCACCTTTCCAACAAGTCACTTTGTCAAATTTCTGCCCTGCTAGAGCTGCCCCGGTCAACTGTAAGTGCTGTTATTGTGAAATGGAAACATCTAGGAGCAACAACGGCTCAGCCGGAAAGTGGTAGGCCACACAAGCTCACAGAACGGGACTGCTAAGCGTTGAAGCGTGTAATGTGTAAAAATCGTCTTTCCTCGGTTGCAACACTCACTACTGAGTTCCAAACTGCCTCTGGAAGCAATGTCGGCACAATAACTGTTCACCGACAGCTTCATGAATTGAAATAGCCGCACACAAGCCTGAGATCCCCATGCGCAATGCTGGAGTGGTGTAAAGCTCGCCGCCATTGGACTCTGGAGCAGTGGAAATGCGTTCTCTGGAGTGATGAATCACGCTTCACCATCTGGCAGTACGACGCAATGGATTAATCTGGGTTTGGCGGATGCCAGGAGAACGCTACCTGCCCGAATGCATAGTGCCAACTAAAGTTTGGTGGAGGAGGAATAATAGTCTGGGGCTGTTTTTCATGGTTCGGGCTGGGCCCCTTACTTTCAGTGAAGGGAAATCTTAATGCTACAGCATACAAGGACATTCTAGACGATTCTGTGCTTCCAACTTTGTGGCAACAGTTTGGGGAAGGCCCTTTCCTGTTTCAGCATGACAATGCCCTCGTGCACAAAGCGAGGTCAATACAGAAATGGTTTGTCGAGATCGGTGTGGAAGAACTTGACTGGCCTGCACAGAGCCCTGACCTCAACCCCATCAAACACCTTTGGGATTAATTGGAACTGGGATACTCAAATTAGTGTGATATGTTACGTTTGGTATGGTCTTTGCAATTTGTAACATATTTTACAAATTGCAATTCGTAACATATACGAAATGGATAATGGACATCCACAAATGAATACATACCATACGAAACGTAACATATCAAACTAATTGGAGTGTCCCGGATTTACATTTACTATGCTGTCTACCCCTGAGTCCAGGTTGAAGCACGATACCCAGGAATCACTAGCACACATCACAAAATAGACACTCATCAAATTAACTAATTAAGTCTGCAATGAACTTCAGGTTGCCATTGAACTGCTTACTAAAGTAAAGTAACATGAACACACATACAATTGAGCTATATTGTTATGAGCAGAGAAAGCCACCCACTATCTCCAGAGGAGATGAAACCACCTGCTTAGAGAAGAGCATTACCCAGCATGTCCACACACGCCATGGCTTATTATAAGGCCCCTTGTCTGAGGTTTCAGTTTTCACCTCATTGCTTTTTACAGAGGAGATTGGTATTGTACTGTGAGTCAAGTAATGGATTGCACTCAGACTTGAGTGAATATTGTATGTCAACAGGATGTAGTTAGCAATTGGGCATGAGTACCACCAAACTAATGGATTTGCTGACCCTCATGTTGTCATGTTATGTTGACACTCAAAACCCTTCAAATGCCACCAAAGTTCAGCCTAGTCAAACTTGAACCAGCCATATGAGCTATGTGTCTTTAACCTAACGGTTAAAGCTGCATGTATTTTCAGTCTGAATATGTTGTATTGAACGTGATGAAGGTTGTATTCAACTTCCAGGTGAAGAGGACCATCCTCCAGAGGCCAATGGAGGTCCGGACAGAGTGGTGCAGCCCCAGGAAAGTTTGACTCTGAACGGCAACGAGAGCAAGGACGACCACGAAATTGTCACGTACAAGTGGCACCTAGTGTCAGGGAACACCTCCGCTGTCATTGAGGTGGGCAATGATGACTGGGGCATCAGGGAGCACTGGTCGGGCTTTATTCGAATGTTTGGGGCGTTTACCTGATCATAGTTAATGGTGATTACTCTTTGACTGTGTAAAAGTACATGAGATGGATAGGTCACCCTCGGAACACCAGAGGATGAGGATCACAATTAAAGCTTCTCCATTTCCAAAGTTCTCCCATACAAGAAAATATATTGATACATTTTATTTTCTTGTCTCCTAGAAAACGTCATTTAATGACCAGGTGATCGTGTCCAACCTGATGTCTGGGGTGTACAAGTTCCAGCTGACTGTCACAGACTCCAGCGGGCAGTCTGACCAAACCCAGATCACCGTCCTTGGTGCTCACCCCTGAGCAGTCTGAGAGTGAGTACACTAAAGTATATGTGAAACACCTGCAAAGCACACCTAGCTACACAGCTTAACACAATTGTGTTGAGGGTGAAGGGAAATTCATGCTGTATTTATTGAATTTCAATGCACTTATATACAGTTAGTTGCCTGTGTATGAAATCAAACTGGCGTAGCAGTGCGGTCGTGTATTCTGTAGTGTGCTCGTGTAATTGTTTTTTTTGTCTTTTTCATATATATTTCTCAATCTCACTTTTCATCCTTCAACTAAATATACTTTCCTGCAACCCACCTCACCCAATGTGGAACAGATTCTATTATTTCTTATACCTTTTTATCTAGAACCGGCAGAAACTAGCCAGCTTGCTAGCTACTTGCTATTAGCCACCGTTAGCGGTTTTCACCATTGTCCGTGGCCTGCACTACCAGCCAGCTCTAGCCTGGACAATTATCGGCCAGTCTACACAGCGCGCTATCAACCCAGAACATATCGGATTTTCTGCCGGAATGACTGAATCACTGGACCTTTAACACTGGATCATCATCGCAACTAGCTAGCTGCAACCGAATGGCTGTTGTTGGCTAATCACCACTGTCCCGAAGCTAGCACCAGTTATCCTTGAGCTAGCCTCAAGCCTGGCCCATCTCCCGGCTATCTACCTCTCTGTCAACCGGACGGGACCTCCTAGTGTCGACACGGAGCCCCGCCGATCCATCACGACTGGTCTGCCGACGTAATCGCCTGATGTGGTTTCAACAGGCTTCCCATTGCGACGACCACGAAGATTCATCTGCTAGCCCCGGCCCGTTGGCACACGCAATCAACAGCCGTGCCTCCTGCTCGCCTGTGTCGTAGCAGCCATCGAACTGCAGCCATCGAACTGCTCCCGGACTCACCTGTTGCTGTTCGCTGGACCTTATGATCACTCAGCTACACAGCTGATGCCTGCTGGACTGTTCCTTTACACGGTACCCCATCCTGTTTATCTGTCCTGTTTAGCCTCAGCCCAAACTTTCGTCACCATTACCTGTGATTGCTTTATGCCTCTCCCATGTCAATATGCCTTGCCTATTGCTGTTTCGGTCAGTTCTTATTATACAATTTCACAGTAGAGCCCCCAGTCCCGCTCAACCTGCCTCAGATAGCTCCTTTGTCCCACCCCCCACACACGCGGAGACCGGCTCAATCGGTGCCTCCAGTGATTCTATCTCTTTCATCGTTACCCAACGCTTATGTTTACCTCCACTGTACTCCTATCCTTCCATATCCTTGTCTATACATAATGCCCAGTATCTATTCTACAACGCCCGGAAATCTGACCCTTTTATTCTCTGTACCCAACGCACTAGAAGACCAGTTCTTAAAGCCTTTAGCCGTATCCTTATTCTACTCCTCCTCTGTTCCTTTGGTGATGTAGAGGTTAACCCAGGCTCTGTAGCCCCCAGTATCACTCCTACTCCCCAGGCGCTATCATTTGTTGACTTCTGTAATCGTAAAAGCCTTGGTTCTTTGCATGTTAACATCAGAAGCCTCCTCCCTAAGTTTGAGTTATTCACTGCGTTAGCACACTCCGCCAACCCTGATGTTCGAGCAGTGTCTGAATCCTGGCTTAGGAAGGCCACCAGAAATGTCCATCCCCAACTACAACATTTTCCGTCTAGATAGAACTGCCAAAGGGGGTGGAGTTGCAATCTACTGTAGAGATAGCCTGCAGAGCTCTATCATACTATCCAGGTCTGTGCCCAAACAGTTTGAGCTCCTACTTCTAAAAATCCACTTTTCCAGAAATAAGTCTCTCACTGTTGCCGCTTGCTACAGACCACCCTCAGCCCACAGCTGTGCCCTGGACACCATATGTGAATTGATTGCCCCCCCCCCCACATCTATCCTCAGAGTTCGTACTGCTTGGTGACCTAAACTGAGATATGCTTAACACCCCGGCCATCCTACAATCTAAACTAGATGCCCTCAATCTCACACAAATTATCAAGGAACCTACCAGGTACAACCCTAAATCCGTAAACATGGGCACCCTCATAGATATCATCCTGACTAATTTACCCTCTAAATACACCTCCGATGTCTTCAACCAGGATCTCAGCGATCACTGCCTCATTGCCTGCGTCCGTAATGGGTCCGCGGTCAAACGACCACCCCTCATCACTGTCAAACGCTCATTAAAACACTTCAGCGAGCAGGCCTTTCTAATTGACCTGGCCCGGGTATCCTGGATGGATATTGACCTCATTCCGTCAGTAGAGGATGCCTGGTTGTTCTTTAAAAGTGCTTTCCTCTCCATCTTAAATAAGCATGCCCCATTCAAAAAATTCAGAACTATGAACAGATATAGCCCCTGGTTCACCCCAGACTTGACTGCCCTTGACCAGCACAAAAACATCCTGTGGCGTACTGCATTAGCATCGAACAGCCCCCGCGATATGCAACTTTTCAGGGAAGTCAGGAACAAATATACACAATCAGTTAGGAAAGCAAAGGCTAGCTTTTTCAAACAGAAATTTGCATCCTGTAGCACTAACTCCAAAACGTTTTGGGACACTGTAAACTCCATGGAGAATAAGAGCACCTCCTCCAAGCTGCCCACTGCACTGAGGCTAGGAAACACTGTCACCACCGATAAATCTATGATAATCGAGAATTTCAATAAGCATTTTGCTACGGCTGGCCATGCTTTCCACCTGGCTACCCTTACCCCGGCCACCAGCTCTGCACCCTCCGCTGCAACTTGCCCATGCCCCCCCCCCGCTTCTCCTTCACCCAAATTCAGATAGCTGATGTTCTGAAAGAGCTGCAAAATCTGGACCCCTACAAATCAGCTAGGCTAGACAATCTGGACCCTTTCTTTCTAAAATTAGCAGCCGAAATTGTAGCAACCCCTGTTACTAGCCTGTTCAACCTCTCTTTCGTATCATCTGAGATTCCCAGAGATTGGAAAGCTGCCGTGGTCATCCCCCTCTTCCTCGACCTGGCCAAGGCTTTTGACTCTGTCAATCACCGCATTCATATTGGCAGACTAAATAGCCTTGGTTTCTCAAATGACTACCTCGCCTGGTTCACCAACTACTTCTCAGATAGAGTTCAATGTGTCAAATCGGAGGGCCTGTTGTCTGGACCTCTGGCAGTCTCTATGGGGGTGCCACAGGGTTCAATTCTCCGGCCGGCTCTATTCTCTATGTATATCAATGATGTAGCTCTTGCTGCTGGTGACTCAGATCCACCTCTACGCAGACGACACCATTTTGTATACATCTGGCCCTTCATTGGACACTGTGTTAACAAACCTCCAAACAAGCTTCAATGCCACACAGCACTCCTTCTGTAGCCTCCAACTGCTCTTAAACGCTAGTAAAATTAAATGCATGCTCTTCAATCGAACGCTGCTTGCACCCACCCGCCCGACTAGAATCACTACTCTCGGCGGGTCTGACTTAGAATATGTGGACAACTACAAATACCTAGGTGTCTGGTTAGACCGTAAACTCTCCTTCCAGACTCACATTAAGCATCTCCAATCCAAAGTTAAATCTAGAATCGGCTTCCTATTTCGCAACAAAGCCTCCTTCACTCATGCTGCCAAACATGCCCTCGTAAAACTGACTTCGGCGATGTCATTTACAAAATAGCCTCCAACACTCTACTCAGCAAATTGGATGTAGTCTATCACAGTGCCATCCGTTTTGTCACCAAAGGCCCATATACTACCCACCATTGTGACCTGTACGCTCTTGTTGGCTGGCCCTCACTACATATTCGTCGCCAATCCCACTGGCACCAGGTCATCTATAAATCTCTGCTAGGCAAATCCCTGCCTTATCTTAGCTCATTGGTCACCATAGCAAAACCCACCCGTAGTATGCGCTCCAGCAGGTATATCTCACTGGTCATCCCCAAAGCCAACACCTCCTTTGGCTGCCATTCCTTCCAGTTCTCTGCTGCTAATGACTGGAACGAACTGCAAAAATCTCTGAAGCTGGAGACTCTCATCTCCCTCACTAACTTTAAGCATCAGTTGTCAGAGCAGCTTACCAATCACTGCACCTGTACACAGCCAATTCTGTAATTAGCCCACCCAACTACAGTGGGGGAAAAAAAGTATTTAGTCAGCCACCAATTGTGCAAGTTCTCCCACTTAAAAAGATGAGAGGCCATAGGTACACGTCAACTATGACAGACAAAATGAAAAAAAAAATCTCCAGAAAATCACATTGTAGGATTTTTTATGAATTTATTTGCAAATTATGGTGGAAAATAAGTATTTGGTCAATAACAAAAGTTTCTCAATACTTTGTTATATACCCTTTGTTGGCAATGACACAGGTCAAACGTTTTCTGTAAGTCTTCACAAGGTTTTCACACACTGTTGCTGGTATTTTGGCCCATTCCTCCATGCAGATCTCCTCTAGAGCAGTGATGTTTTGGGGCTGTCGCTGGGCAACACAGACTTTCAACTCCCTTCAAAGATTTTCTATGGGGTTGAGATCTGGAGACTGGCTAGGCCACTCCAGGACCTTGAAATGCTTCTTACGAAGCCACTCCTTCGTTGCCCGGGCGGTGTGTTTGGGATCATTGTCATGCTGAAAGACCCAGCCAGGTTTCATCTTCAATGCCCTTGCTGATGGAAGGAGGTTTTCACTCAAAATCTCACGATACATGGCCCCATTCATTCTTTCCTTTACACGGATCAGTCGTCCTGGTCCCTTTGCAGAAAAACAGCCCCAAAGCATGATGTTTCCACCCCCATGCTTCACAGTAGGTATGGTGTTCTTTGGATGCAACTCAGCATTCTTTGTCCTCCAAACACGAGGAGTTGAGTTTTTACCAAAAAGTTATATTTTGGTTTCATCTGACCATATGACATTCTCCCAATCCTCTTCTGGATCATCCAAATGCACTCTAGCAAACTTCAGACGGGCCTGGACATGTACTGGCTTAAGCAGGGGGACACGTCTGGCACTGCAGGATTTGAGTCCCTGGCGGCGTAGTGT